CCATCTCAGGGTCTACGCATGGTAGTCTGGCGCTTTGCTGCTGCCTCTCTACAACCCCAGTGGGAGACTTGTCGTGCCCGTCGCTTAGGAACACTGAGGCAAAGAACTCGTTGAGGAGTTCAGCCTTGTCCCCCCTGTCCGTCACCAATTGTTTCTGCCCATTTAGCAGGGGTCCTATTCCTCCCTGGGCCTTCCTTTTACTCCCTATATATCTAAAAAACAATTTCTTGTTATCCTTTACTTGGGATGCCATCCTCAGCTCCATGGTAGCTTTGGCCCGTCTAACTGCCTCCTTACAAGCACGAGCAGAGGAGGTATACTCCTCTTTGGTGATCTCTCCCTGTTTCCACTTTTTATGTGCTCCCCTTTTGGCCTGTAGGCTGCTCTGGATTTCTCTGGTCAGCCAAGGAAGCCTCCTGGCCCCTTTCCCTCTTTTTGTTTCGTGCAGCCCTATTAAATATCGTGACAGTGGTTGAGTATGCTGATCCCAGTTCTGGATTATTTAGAAAGTCCATCCATTTTCTGTGCACATATTCTTTGTTTGGAGCAGACTGTTTCCATGCCGCCATGCTTCTGATTTTTCCCTTGAGGCTAATCATCAGGAAGCTGCAACAGTTGGAGAGAATGTAGCTGCTAATTTCATAGATTTCATAGACATTAGGGCTGGAAGGGACCTTGGAAGATCATCGAGTCCAGCCCCCTGCCCAAAGGGCAGGAAGTCAGCTGGGGTCATAGGATCCCAGCAAGATAAGCATCCAGTTTCGTCTTGAAGGTGTTCAATGAAGGCGCTTGAACCACGTCCGGTGGCAGGCTGTTTCAGACCTTGGGGACTCGGACAGTAAAGAAGTTCTTCCTTATGTCCAGCCTGAAACGATCTTGAAGTAGTTTGTGACCATTCGACCTCGTCATCCCTTGGGGCGCTCTGGTGAACTAACGTTCCCACAGATACTGGCGGTCACTAATGAGCTGCATTCTGTAAGGGTGGAGGGATTGGTTACATCTATTTGTTCATACCCAGGAATCTGCTGACTGCCCATAAACGCACAGCTATATTACAACCTTTCAGCATCATACAAATGAAGCTTTTTGTGAAATCAGCCCATTCTGAGCAGCTGTGATGAGGTTTTGATGAGCCTGTTCCTGATCCCTCCTCTTAGTTGGGATCCAGGTGAGGGGAGAGAACTTCTTGGATGTGGAACCGTGAGCTGTAAAAATTAGTTCAGAGACGGGCTCCTTAACTGTCTCTGGGACAAACTACAAATCCTGCATGTCTCGCCTGTCTCTGTCCAGATCCCCATTCTTTGCACCAGCTGATGGAGTGTGTTGGGGCGGTCATGTATCCTCAGCCATCTTACAGTTCTGACTGAGCCCAAGCTCTCGTTCTGTGATTTTTTTTTTTTTTATTTATTTTTTTTTCCTACCTGGTTCCATTTTGTTTTGCATATATGTAGTGTGGTACAGTATGCAGATACCTTAATGAAAGGCACAAGCAAATCTGTTCAACAGATAGGCAGCACAAAACATGCATTGTTGAGATGAAGGGGAGAGCTTAAAGATGGAAAATGCTGAATGCCACAGAGAGTGGTCTTATCCTATACCCCACGGTTCATAAATTCACTTTGATTGTAGTAGAGAGCTTGGAGGGTTACCCCCACGTAGCATGGGAGGTATATCAGGGTATTAATAACTTATGTTTTCCCAGCACGGACCAGCCTGCAATCTGCTCAGTGCAGTAAGGAAAGAACATTTTTGTCTTTTGCTTTTATACTTTGATGCACAGATAGTTATATTTTTAGAAATATAAGTTGTTTTCATTTGAAGGCACCTGACAAGCTCCTGCCCTTGGTCTGTGTGACACTAGCAATCGGTGAGATGCAGGGTGCCTACATTCAATGAAGTTGCAGGAAAAGCGGGGCCAGAGGCATTCTTGTTAATAAGAAGAGATTTTGGGGGAAAAGCTGCAGATGATACATCAGTAAATACGGTATTTAATAGGTCTCAGCCCCTTGGTCTATTCATTAACAGAGGGAAAGTTGATCTCTATTACAGGCACTTCTTGACTTACGTTTCACACTTACAGTGTTTATAAGTTGACACCCTGTTTCAACTTTACAATGCCAGTTTCAATTTACAACGCTTGATCCGATGCAATGCCATGCCAGCGAACAAGTTCGCTGTGTCGCTTATCTCCCTGGAGAACATCCATCCAAACTGCCTTGGATAGTTTCTTTAAGAAAGCAGACAAGACTCCAGAAAAACCTGCAGCCAAGACTCCTGAGAAGACTCCAGCCAGAACCCTTCAAAAAGTCTAGCAAAGTCACCTCAAATAAGTCTTTCCAAATCAATATGATTGCTATTTACAATATAAATATATTAATGTAGCTATATTACTCATCTATAATTGATCAAGTACAAAATTATGGGGTATTTGTGGTGAAAATAGGGTATTGGGCCTTGGTTCAGGAACCAATCCCCCATTTATAACATTGTTTCTTATGAGAAAATTGGTTCCGAGTTACAACGTTTTGACTTAACTGGTTCCTGAAAACCACGTCTTGCAACTCCAGGGGCCTGTATGGTACCTTCTCTAGCACTTGCTTTCCTTCATTTCTTACCAAAAGGAGAAAAGCATAAAAATCCCTTCACTCCTACAGCAAAAGCCAAAAGGATGAATTAGACTGGGATAGGCAACCTTTTCTGGCTACAGTCTGGAATGACTCACCCCAGGTTGGAGGCAGGTGGGCAGATGCTAGGACCCTTCCACCTCTACATGTCTTCCC